TGGCCGCCATGGCCATCGAGTGTCATCTCGGTGTGGCTCTTTGCTTGTACAAGGGTCGGGATAGGTCCGCCGTGAGGTGGTGATCATGTTGGTACTAGTCCCTCGCCGAGTCTCGCCGACGGCGTGTTTTGCTGATCGGAGTTGGTAGCGGCGCATGCGCCTGCCTCTCTGTGTGACGACACGCTGGGTCGACTGCCGAGAGAGAGAGAAAGAACGTTGAGCTTTTCTAATTTCGAATTTTGAATAGTGCAACAATTTTGCAATTTTGTAGGAATTTATTTACAGATCTAAAAATTTTGAAAATTTTGGGTAGCTTCTATATATGTTCTACTATGGTTTAAAAATATGAAACTTGAAATTTGGATGAATTTTTAATGTTCAAAAATTCAGTCAATTAATTAATAAATGCAATTTCCATGATTTTTGTAGGCCACTGTATAACTCCAAAAATTATGAAATTTATTCTGGTACACTAATTTATCATGAGGATGCTTGTGTAAATTTTTGAGATCATTTGGAGCAAGTTCATTTTGAGCTTAATTCTAAATTAATTCAAAAATAAACAAAGGTAAACCCTAAGTGTAGGTTTAGGGTTTGATCTTGATTTGGGTCATGAAGTGTGACTAGTAGGGTCCCAAGATCCATTTGGTCAAGTCACATGTATGGTTCTTAATGGTAGGATTGCAAGTTGGTTTTGTTGGCTTTGCAATCGCATCTGTGAAATAAAATCATTTATGTGTGTTTTACATTTCATGTACCGTGAAAGCATCATGTTTACATTATCATCATGTTAAAGCATATGTTATCATTTCGTGTAGAACCCGAGAACGAAACGATTCTAGTTGAGCAAGTTCTGGAAGAATTCCCGGTTGTCGCGGGATTTGATAATTGTGGTACTAATCCGGAACCGGAAATTGTCATCGAAGGCAAGCCCCGGTTTATGCATTAAACCATTACCTTGTTTACTTTGAAAAGTTTATCACTTATGTTACTTATCGCATTAAGTTGTTTAATTCAAATGTTACCTAATTGCTGCATTGCCTACCTTGTTAATTGTTTACCATCCTTGAAGATGATTTCATTTACAAAGGCGTAGAATTGCTTAGTGTGCTTTGTGGTAGGCTTTCAAAGTAAAAGTTTTGATACAATCAAAGATGGCATACTGGCCAAAGAAAGAAAGAGGATAGAATGAACTAGAGACTAGTTGGGTGACTTATCTTGAATGTTGGGTAATGTTGCCGACTATGTCGCTTAAAGGCCACTAATTGTGGATCTTCTGAACGAGACACTTTGTAGTACTGGTCACATACTCCGGTAAGCCTACTTCGGCTAATCCGATACTAAGACGAATGCCCACGCACTGGGAGTGGTGAGATGGTGGGAGTAGCGTGTACCCTCGTGGCTTGAATGTGGCCGGATTTGAGGTGTGATGTGCTCTCGGGTGGCGTGGAGACGGCTTAGTATAGGAGGATTCGGTAGCGAGGTTGATATATGCAAGATTAAGTTCTGCATATGTCGTGTGATAAGGAATCCCCAGCTAGGACTTGAATCAATTCGAATTGCCGGTGCTCCACGGATATGGAGACTCGATTCATTATAGAAGCAATGTAGGACTGGTGAACTACTAAAACATGAGAAAAAGAATGGAATGAGCAGGATTGGAACATGGGATATGAACACTTAGTAGGAGATATTGAACTAAAATACTTAGTGGTAAAACTTGAAACTAGGATCAAGAATAGTAAGCTTTTAGCAAAGAATTTTTGAATCTTTCTACATCCTTACCTTGACCCAACACCAGCATCCCTAAGACCTTCGCCCTTTTTGGTCAGGTCAGTCTTGTTGAGTACTTTTGTACTCAGGGTTTGTTAACCCTTGTTGCAGGGGAGACGCATGCGCAGGCTTGTTTTGGTCCCTGCTGCATGTCAGTGTATGAAGTCGATGATGATGAGGAATGATGAATGGCCTTTGGACAAGGCACTAGTTTGTGTGAAATAAATAATGTTAATGTAATATTATCTCGCTACTATGGTTGTATAACACTTATGGTATTGTAAGTTTGAAAACAACTGGTTTGTAATTATGTTATCGTAAGACTTCCGCTATCATTTACTCTGGTATATATTTGAATAAACTGTTGTAATCTGCAATGACTGTGATTGGGATCCTGTTTGAAAAGATAATCGTGGATGATTCGGGTTTCCCGAGGACACCCGACAGACCTGTTGAGTTGTTGGGAACTCGTGTACGCTATTCGAGGTCTATTAAGACATCGATAGGTGCACGTGGGCCCGATTTCTTAGGAGGTTCTGCCACACGCTTGCATGTCAACCTAGAGCAACCCGACGACAACCTTGCCCTGACGGGATCCCTTCTGGACGAGAGCTTCGATAGTTCCTTTGTTAGTTTGCCCAGAAATTAGCTATTCTTCAGCACATAAGCCTGATTGCTATCCTTTGTTGGTTTTGTTGTAAACTTCACTGCTCTTCATCGTGAAAGTGTGTTGGTTATTCATTGTGTTCTTTGGGTCATGGTGACCCAAACAATCTAGCCCCTAGATGGTTTGTGACCAATCTTTGCGCAATTATGTCAACACCTTCAAAACTGTCATGGGGTCAAAGAGGGTCAACCCTAAACTAAAAAGGGCAAAATAGGGTCGCCATCGACCTTAGATCACTTGAACCGTTGCCCTCCCACACTGCCTATAGCTCCTCCTCCGCAAGGCCGCCAACCCGCCACCACTAGGGTGGTGTTTGGTTCATCCTCAAGTAACTATTAGCGAAACCAGGAGGGCCAGCAGGGGTCGTGCCTCCCCCTCCCCCAACATAGTGAAACAATTTTATTACCATGTAAAAAATCAATTAAATAGAAAAAAAATTATTATTTCACCCATTTTTATTATAATATTGTGTTTTTTGCTATAAATACTAAATACATATGTAAAAACATTGAAAAACTATTGAGACATATACTTGATATATATATATTTGTCATATTTACGAGGTATCATTATATTGTCTGGCCTCCCTTAATCAAAAGTTCTGGTTCCGCCACTGCAGGTAACGTAACTAATAATGAAATCAATTCACATAGGTTTAGTTGGTGGGATCATTGATTGTTGACTTTGTTTGGTACCAAAGTGGTAAACGATACTATAGTAAACGACAGTAACATAATACGATAAAGGTCAGAGATGAGTGGTATCAGCGGAGAGTAGAGTGTTATTTGATTACACGATATCTCATTGTGGACCAAACCAAACCAAGAAACTATATCATCATAGTCACGAAAGAAATATGATTACATTACATTTCGTCGAACTGAACGCTTCGTAGATTGAACTCATTGCCAATCAGAGGTACCTCCTGCCAATCTCCTTGTCTTATTTGAATGTATCTTACTCTAAGAAACTTCAGTAGCATATATCATTTGTAGGGAGGCCTTGCCATTTAGTATTTAGCACCAAGTAATTTGGAGCATAGTAAGAGGCAAAACTGTACATATTTTTCAAAATTTGGGAGTCCATATTGTGTGCCTGCAACGGAGAAAGTGCAGCATGTAAGCCCATAATAGTCCATTGGTGAGAAACAAGAGTCAAGGATAGACTCATAGGAAGACTGGAAGAGGAACACAAAGGCCCATAATGACACTACTAGGAATTTCCACTTTCTTGACGAACAATTTTTGTCACTGAAGAAGCCAAATTCGTCATAATTTCAGTTTTATGATGAATTTATGACGAAAAACAGTTCGTCATAGAAAGCGCGTCATACTTGAACTTCTATGATGAATCTAGAAATTCATCGTAGAAGTTGCTTGATCTATAACGAGAAAAACTGATCGTCATAGAAGTGTTTTGGCATGCGTGGCAGACGGCAACCACGCTGGTGGATGCTTCCATTGGAGATGCTTTTTACGTGTACATGCTATAGCCGGTTGCATTGGATATGGTTCGGATCACGTGTCACCTTCTTATTGCACAACGGGGGCCCTCTCTTGTCCTTGCATGTTTCAGGATCTAGCTAGACCACGTGTCGGGTCCCTATTGTTCCACATGTCAGTTTTCTATTGGCACACGTGTCGTGTTGTGGTTGGGTCACAAGTCACTTCTTCATTAGACCATGTGTCGCATTTTTATTGGTTCACGTGGCGTGACCACAGTACCCCGCGTGTCTTTCTTTTACTCGACCACGTGTCACGATGTTGTACGTCCGTGTATCAGTATTTTATTGGGCCACATGTCGCGCCCTCGAGCTACCCACGCGTCTTTTTTTATTCGATCACGTGGCAGGACTGATTTGTACCACGTATTTGGTTTGTATTGGCCCACGTGTCCTGTCCTGCCACTTAGACGTGTCATTCACTAGTTTGTCCACATGTTAGATTCTTATTTCACGACATGTCTTGTGCCGAATCTACCACATGCACACCAATCATTACATTAGAAAAAATAATTTCAGATCTACACTACTGCACAAAATGACTACATGCATAATTATATTGAACTTGAATCAAATACCAGTAGTTCAGCTCAGCAGCAAACCACTGACAGAGTTCACATATCAAGCCACCACAAGTTCACATCAAAACAGCAAACAAACCACATGTTCACTGCATCAACAAGACTGGGAGTTACTAGTCTTTAAGAGCATTATATGCTCACGGAGCTTATTGTACTCCTCCTGTTGCTGTTTCTTGTACTCCTCAAACTCCCTTTCAGTGTTTTCTGTCTTTCTTTTCAGTTGATCCACTTGTTCGACAAGGCCAACTGAACTTTCCAATTGAGCAGCAAGCCATTCCCGAAGTTTGGAGCAGCTTGTCCTGATACTAGCATTTTTCAAAGAAAAGGTGTTGTAGTTGGCCTAGGAGAGGACCTTGGAAACAACATCAGCAACAGGTTCTGCTCGTATAGTTTCCATAGCTTCCAGCAAAAACCAAGGAGTAAACATTAGGTTACTACCACTAATACTACTTAGTATACCTTGTTCCTCTTCGCGGCGATGGCGCGGGCGAGGGCGAGGCCAACGGCGAGGACGAGGCCGAGGGCGAGGCCGACGGTGAGGACGAGGCCGAGGCCGAGGGCGAGTCGAGGCGCGCGCGAGGGTGAGTCAGAGCGCGCGCGAGGACGAGCCCGAGGGCGAGGACGAGGAGGGGCGCGGGCGAGGACGAGGGCGAATCGGGCGCGCGAGGGCGAAGCAGTATGCGCGGGCGAGGACGAGGAGGGGCGCGCACGGTGGGGCGGGAGAGAGAGGCGCTGCGGGGCGCTGGGCGTGGTGTGGGCTGGCGGGCTTGGACGGCTGGCCGGCCGTGGAGGGGGGGGGTGGTCGGGCCGCCGCGGCGCGGCATGGATGGCGGGATGTGGGATGGGGCGGGGCTGGCGCGGGGCGGCGTGGTTTCGGCGGGCGGCGTAGCTTCGCGGGCGGTGGTGGTTTCGGTGGGCGGGTGAGGTTTCAAGGAGCGGAGCGGCAGGCAATGCGGTCATGGCGGCGGCGGGCGGTGTGGTTTCGGCGGTGGCGTGGTTTCGGCAGCGACGTAGCTTCAGTAACGGCGTGGCGTTTCCATGGGTGGCGGCGAGTTTCGAGCTGCGGCAATGGCGGCGGCGTGTGAAGGCGTGGCGGTATGGGTCAAGAAGAGAGAGGGCGGGTTGCGGGCAATGCGGCGAGAGAGTGAGAGAGATAAGGCCGAAAGCGGTTAAGTGGGAAGAGCACTTTGCCGAGAGCCGATCTGGGAGGCTCTCGGCAAACCTTCCACTTTGCCGAGAGCCCCCGATCCGCTCTCGGCAAAGTTTTTTTTTTCAAATTTCGTTCGAAATTTTTAACTAGCTAATTGCACAAAAAATATTTTAAAAAATTTATTGTTTGCCGAGAGCTACTTTCTAAGAAAGAAAAGTTTTTTAAATATTTTTATTAAATCTAACAAACTGAACAAAAATGATATTTCTAAAAAAATTAAATATTTGCCGAGAGCGGGGTCTCGGCAAACCTATTCGCCGAGAGCCGACTCTCGGCAAACCATTGATCCAAAGCTAGGTAAAAAAAAAAAAAGAAATCTGCGAGAGAGCGGGCCCAGATTGCTCTTCTAAGAAGAAGCTTTATGAGAGCAATCCTCTGAAGCTCTCGCAAAGAATATCCAAAAAAAATTAATAAATAGCAAACGGCTCAGGAAAAATACGAAATTTTGCCATGTTGCAACTTATGCTCTCTAATGGCTATACAAAAGTTTGGAACTCCAAAACTAATTCGACCGTGACATTGTTTGAAAATCCTAGTGGATACTTCTCAACTTTATGAAACTTATTAGGAGATGTCTCAGATTATAAGAGAATCATACGCAACCACTTATGAAAAACATTTTCAATTTTTACCACAGCCTCCAAGTGTGATACCATGACTTCATTGCAAATATCACAATTTTCTCGAATTCGTTTCCTTTTATTAAGAATTTTTAAATCGTTCGTGACATATGTTCGTGGTCTTCGATTAAGTAAAATAAAAGGTGAAAAAACGTCAACAAGATGTTATTTGCCCCCAATAATGCATAAATAGCATGAATATCATTTTCTACTTAATTTGTTCCGTGTTTAAATCAATCATTGTTCAAATTTTAATCGATTAAAAAACTCCTTGAAATGCAATTAATTAATTATATATAGCAAATAATTACAAAAATACACAAAATTTTAATATTGAGTACAACCTGTAGTATGTGTATAGAGAAAAAGTTTGGAGCATATGAAAGAAAAAACAATTTAATTGGAGAGAGTTAGGAGAAGAGAAACACATGCACATGAAATATAGAAACCACGCTTTTGCGAGAGCACGGGAGGGCTCTCGGCAAATATTCGCCGAGAGCAGCTCTCGGCAAACAGTTTTGCCGAGAGCCATAACGTTGGGGCTCTCGGCAAAGTGGTGACGCCGTCAGGGCAAGTCACGGCGATGGGCCCACGGCAATGTTTTGCCGAGAGCCTGATTTTGCCGAGAGAAGTGCACACAAGCAAAGGCCCATTTTGCCGAAGGTCATTTTTTGCCGAGCGGGGCTTTCGGCAAAATGGCCCACTTCGCCGAGAGTTGTTGTTTGCCGAGATACAGGCCCACGGCAATCTTGTGAGTTCCCGACGGCCCGTGTTTGCCGAGAGCCGCGCTCGGCAAACGGTTTCTTTGCCGAGATCCCGTGTTTTTTTTTTTTTTGCTCTCGGCAAAAATCGCGGCTCTGGGCAAAGGATGTTTTTCCGGTAGTGCACGATTGCGGTAGGTGGAGGTACGCACGGTCGCATCGCACATGGTCTGGTGACCGTACCGTTCCAACCTCTAATCCAACGGCCAGGCGCCACCGCCGGCGCCCCCTACGGTGCCGACTGTCTAGCCGCTTCGTGGAGCAGTGGAGGTGTCGGTCCACGACGGCGCGTCCCCGTCCCGCCGCGTGTCTCGCCCTCGCGCCACGTCCGGCTGCCTCCAGCGCCACCTCGCTCCCGCCGGTTCCAGACGCTTCTCCCCGCTCCGCATAAAAGCCGCCACCGCGAGCTCACTCTGCTTCACCTGAACCATCACAGTTCGCAGAGAAGCGTCCTCCTTCCGTCACACTCGGATTCTTGCGCACCGAACCAGTCGTCGTCCATGGCGTTCCGAGCCGCCGCCACTGGCACCGCCACGGGCCTCCGCGCGGCCGCGCTGCGGCGCTACGTCCGCCCCCCGCCACCGCTCCGGTCTCCTCCTCCCGCTCCGCCGCCACGGCGGCCACCGCCGGCGCCGAGCACCACCACGCGGGCAGCCACAGGGCCTCCGGCAGCACCGGCGGCAACAAGCAGCTCCCCCGCGGCGACTACGTGCCGGTGTACGTGGCGCTGGGCCTGATCGCGCTGTCGGTGACGCTGGGCCTGCACACGGCGCGGCAGCAGCTGGCGCACGCGCCCAACGTGTGGGTGGACAAGAAGAAGCGGGAGACGGTGCCCGAGGTGGCGGCGCCGGAGCTCGCGCTGGACGAGGCCGAGCGCTTCGTGGACCGGTCGCTCTTCCGCAAGGTCGCGCACGTGCAGGACGACCGCAGCCTCGCCGCCGGCGTCGCCGACCCCGTCACCAAGTACCCGTACGTCATCATATATGAAACTAAGGAGTCTTAGCTTGAGATCGTTGATGTGTGCATGGAGCAGCCATTAATCTGGGTCTGTTGCTGGTGTGTATGTATCGGTACGTGCAGGACGAAGAAGGCGGTGACGCTCAAGGACGTGGGCGTGGAGACGCCGGGGATCGGGCAGAGCAAGGAGGGCGTCCTCGACAAGATCTTCAAGAAGAACCCCGCTTAATTAGGTGTGGATGTCTGGATTGTATTGCTTTTGAGTTCCTTCTACTCACTTCACTGCTTCTATCTCCCTTCCACTTTTACTAGTGTGTACAGTACGTATTAGTTTTGGGTCAAATCAGCTGTAGTACTACTTTTGAAAGGTCGATGTGTTACGTTCCCTCCGTCCCAAACTGTAAGACGTTTGATTTTTTGGCTTTAAGTGATCACTCGTTTTATTTAAAAAATTTATGTAAATATAGTCAAATTTAAATCATTCTTGAAGAATTTTTATTAATAAACCAAACCATGACGAAAGAAGTGATATTTTACACAAATTTTTGAATAACACGAGTGGTTAAATTTGGTATAAAAAATCAACGTCTTACAATTTTGGATGGATTGAGTAGTACGTAATCTCGAGAACGCTCTTTGTCTGGTGACGTTCATCACGTATGGAAATTAAGCTTGACCCCGGTGCTGTCCAGGAAAACTTACTAACTTTGGTTGGTTGCTTGCAAGATAAAGTTATTCATATTTAACTAAGTTTTACTTTAGGAATTCATACTTAACTAAGTTTTACTTTAGTTTGCATGTTAGATAAAGTTATTCATATTTAGCTAAGTTTTTAGTGAATAATATTTATATTTATAACTTTAAATTAATTTATTATAAATATATATTTATCTAATGATATTTATTTTGATGTTATAAATATTTAGAGTCTTTTATCTATTAAATATGATATAAAAAAACATGATATACTAAAACATGGTGCACAATTGCATAGTTTTTGTGAACGGAGAGTGTCTACGAGGACACGATGGCAGCTTGTCATGTATATATTCCTTCTATTCTGCCTTCAGGAGAAATTCTGAAACATTGTAAGCCTGTTGGGTTGGCTGTTTCAGCGATGCTGCAGCAGTGTGCATCTGTTTTACCCCATTTGGCTGGTCATGTCCCAGCTTTTCAGCTTATTCTTTCTCACAGAACACTATTGAATCATGTAGAACCATCTAAAATTCACTGTTCAGTCCACCAGCCGTGCTCACTCGCAAAACACTGTGCATATACGTATACAGCTGGCTTTCAGTGTATATACTGTTTTTTCTCTGCCTTTTAGAAATCAAATGCCAGCCTTGTCCCTATTCACCCTCCTTTAATCAAGGAATCAAATAGTTTTAGGCTAAGGAATCTAGGTTGTATCAAATCTATAAAATATTGTGAGGCATAGCGGGTCAGCCAACCCGCCTAACTGCCTGTTTGGTTGGTTGGTTTGTTTCATTGCTGGTTCGTGAAGAAGTATTGCTGGCTAATTTGTGTGAGAAAAATATTATTTCGGCTAAAAATTTACGATCATTTACGATAAGTCATAGGCAAACGAACAGGCTGTCGAGGGTGCGTTTGCAGGGGTGCTTTCGTAGGGATCTAAGGGCCTGTTTGATACAGAGCAAGAGGGTGGCCTGCGCTCCTATGCTTGATCTGTTTGATTTGCTTGGTTCAGTTGCCGCACTCTCAGCTGCAACCCGATTTGCTTGGCCCAACTATCGGCCTGGCTCGTGGCACTCAAAAGGCACTCTCTCTTATCCACCCAAGGAAATGCCCCTATGGTTCGTTTATTTAGAGCCAGGCTCCCTCCGTCTCCGTGGGGGATTTCTAGGTGGCGGCGGCGGCTCGCGCGGGAACATGAAAGTTCCTCCCCTGCTCCTCCTCGTCGAAATCCGTTGTATTTTATAAGCCGCCTGCCTCCCGCGCTGCCTTCTTCTCCTTCTTGTAGCTCCGTCGTCCCCATTTCTTTCCACTACGTTCGCGTTAAGAGACCGGCAGTGTTGGTGTGGTGGTGGTGCGGTGCGGCGGTCTTCTTCGTCTCCAGTTGGGGTTGATCTGCTATGTCCCGTTCAGATCTGCTACTTTTTCCCCGGCGGCTCTTCTTCTTCTCCATCTTGCGCTTCTTGCTGTCACCGTCGACTCCCCCGAGGTGAAATCCCCCCTCCAAAATCCCCTTTGCTTTTATTCAAGGGTTTGCTCTTGCCCTATTTTGATTTTGATTTGTCTCTGTGGGATGATAGTTTGGGTACATGATGGTGGTCTAGTTGGTATGAATGTTGATTTCGAGCACTGAGACATGTATGCTCCATTCTTGGTACTTTTGATATGGTCGATGATAAATGTGTCCACTACAACTGGAGGCATTTTTGTTTATGTAGCCGTGCTATTTTTATGTTTGTAGCTGTCTTAAGTTTATGCTGAAATGTTAGTTCTTTGATGGTTGATGATGATTCTGTCCAATGCATTGGAGGCATTCTTTTATGCAGTCGTGCTATTATATCGATATGAATGATTGCACTTTCGTATTGAGGCCAGCCAGGATCTACTAGAACTGAGTTGTATCTTTAAATGTTGAATGCCTGTTGTCAAGATATTTCTCCTGTTGATGGTAAGTCTTGGTGTTGGAAAAATGTGATAATCATCTCACTACTTTAAAATTTTAAGAACTTTTTTGAGCGAAGAATAACTTAAATACAACTTATTTTAATTTATTGCATCTAAATACAATATAACTAAAAAAATTGCACCTAAATATGATAACTAGAAAAAATATTAATCGCTAGTGTAGAAACACTCAAAACCGGTTTGGTGCCAATTCTTCATATTTCAAAGAGAAACTGAGGGGTGTTTGGTTCCTCCTTCTAAACTTTAGTCGCTGTCCTATCGAATGTTTGGACACATGCATATAGTATTAAATATAGACTAATTACGAAACTAATTGCACAGTTTGCGACTAATTTATGAGACGAATCTTTTAAGCTTAATTAGTTCATGATTTGATAGTGTGATGCTACATTAAATATATGCTAATGACGGATTAATTAGGCTTAATAAATTCTTTTCGTGGAGTACTGACGGATTCTATAATTTATTTTTTTATTAGTATCCGAACACCCTATGTGACACCCTCACGTGACACCTCCTAAATTTTAGTTACAGGATCCAAACACCCCCTGAATCGTTCCGGCCATCCAAACACATCCTGAATATCGTCCGAAAGATCAGCAAGATAGCTGCCAAGTGACGGTCGAACAATTTGAAATATGCAGTTAGATCATGACCTAAACTATATAGATGCCCAAACGGGCCCGTGCAAACGGGCTGCCTAGCCCGGCCGGTGAAAGCATGGCCTGATGAGATTGGGTCAGGCACAACACTTCGGGGCACCAAGCCATGTTGAAGAGGGTTCATGCTTGGCCGCTGATCCCGGCACGATCTGTCGGGTTGATTTTCGGGCCAGGCTAGCCCGATAAGCACGGCTTGGTGCTGCTCAGGGCAGCTCGAGGCCTGCATCTCCGTCACTGGTGATAGAGTATCACTGCCGATTTTCGGGCTGAGTTGCCCCAATAGAGTTTATGGTTTCGCAACTGGTTGTTTCGGAACCGGCGGTGATAGAGTGTCACCGCTGATTCACGGCTTCAATTCATAGTTATAGGACATTCGGTAATAATAGGTGGCATATCACTGCCGGTTGGTGACTTCAACCAACAATGATAGACTATAATATATCATTGTCGGTTGGAGCTACGAATCGACAGTGATATCACAACTTTTTTCATATATAGTTGGATAAAGATAAACTTTATAGTTTATAATTTTTTAATATGAGATGGTTTACAAGTCTAAATAGTTAATTTTAGTTTTCAAATCAAATTTGAGGTGATTAATAATGTCGAATGGAGACAAATTCAATATCAAAGTTGTAGTACGATATCTATAACTTTGTAATTAACAACATTTTCATTTGAGATCGTTTGGAGTGTTAAATATACAATATAAGATTTGGATCGTATAGTTAAAAGAATAGTGCCAGATATATAGTCACATGTGTCGCGAACGCGAGTTCGAATCCTAAAACATATATTTTCTGACTTTTACCGGTTATTACTGCCCACATGGCAGTGATGGGAGTTAGAACCCGGCATTGATTCCCTGCTCTGGTGTAGTGAGATCAAACATGTGAATATGTGATAGAAGATTATGAACATCTTAAAAGTTTAGTGGGTTAATTTTCAATTTATATAATCTATGCATGTACTATGTTCTTGTGGCAGACACATGCATCATGTTCGCTTATGCTGAAATGTTGTGAGAGAAAAACACTGTTCCATGGCTGAAAAGTAGCTCAATCGAATAGGGTGATGATCTAAAATTGATATCAAAATTTGTGCATTTGTACATACACATTTATCCAGGAGTGAAAAGAGGCATCACTTACCATAATTGGATTTGTTTTTTGAACGCCTTTGTCTTCTAGCCTTAGTAGCAATGGGCATCGAAATTGTTGGCCACTTGGCCTCGATATTATCACAATAATGAACTCAATTCTTGTTGGCTGCTAGATTAAAACATAGTAGAAATCAAAATAATTTCTGAAAGTGTTGCCCATTGATTTTTTTTCTTTCAAGCTTTGTAGGGAAATAATTTCTGACACCACACAAATATTTGAGATAGCATGGTTATCTTAGCAAACACAGTAGCTCAAGTTTTGTTGTTGTCCTCTTTTGCTTTTTTTTTATCAAGTAGAATATTTTGTCTGTTGTCACTAGTCATCGAGAATCTCAGAGGCGGTTTTGGTCAGTAACCAGTCTTGCTCCTAGGCAAAACATCGAGCACATGGTGTGCATGTTCATGGATGAGGCACCGGTGGCGAAGAGTGCCTACTCCTAGTTGGCTGTCTTGAACAACAACGAGCGTTTAGCGTTGCCACCGCCGACTCCGCCGACGACGTGCTTGACACCACCACCCCCGTTGCTGCGTCCAGCTTCAGCCCCTACCCCGCATTGCCGCATACCCGCAGCCAAAACTCGGCAAATATCTCCCCCGCCCGTGCAACCGGTCCACGCAAACCCGCCAGAATTATCCCTCCTTCCCCTTCCAAGTTCCAACTCCAAATGCGCCGGGCCTCCCCGTAGCCTCGGCGTCCCCGTCCCTCCATGGCCGCCGCACCGCCTCACGCCCCGCCAGCGGCGGCTC